TCAGCAGGATATAAGGACACAGAGTCCACCGTTTTCTCCAGAGGAACTGATCTCTGCCATCTGGTAGTTGTAATTCTGAGTGATCTTCAGCCCTCACCTGGAGATTGGCAACAATGGTTCCCCCCAACAGGCACTAAGGGGAAATGTATTTTACCTCAAAACACATTTTACCTCCGAACAGCAACAGCTAACTATTTAGAATGTTAGAGGCAAAGGCCAATGAGGCCACATATGCAAACGACCTCTGTGTTCCAAGGCAAAGGCCAATCAGGCCACATATGCAAATGACCTCTGTGTTCTGACTGGCTATGGGGGGAGAGGAACAGCAAACTGTTTAGAATGTTGGAGGCAGGACTCAGGCAATGCAGCCAGTGGATAGGGAGACCCTCTGAGTGACAGACCAGAGAGCCAACTGATTTGGGAGACGTGTTGGAATGTTCAGGGGAGTCCATGACCAAAACAGAATTATATATAAGGAGATATATCCTGAATGAGGTAGCATCCCTCCCCAAACCAGGCCCTCCCAAGGCTCCACCCCAAAATCTCCAGGGATTCCCCAACCTTGATCTGGCAACCCAAAGGGAACTGATATCTGTATCTGGGAGATCTGTTGTGATTCCCGGAGATCTCCAGGCCCCACCCAGAGGTTGGGAACCCTAGAAGGAGAGAAGGAAACAAGAAAAGGGGAGAGACTATGGGGGCTTTCAGGAAAGGGAAAGAAGAAATGGTGGGAGAGGGGGAAGTGAGATGCCTCCCGTAAGTCTTTGTGGGCTCCCAGTTGTAGATATTGAAAAGCATATGAAAAGTGCTGGGTTCGCTGCATGGAGGACTCGGGCGACGACATGCGTTTGCACACGTTTATTGTACTTAACACAAGACTAACTAAAACGGCCCTGCAAGGCCAACTATATACACACCCACCCAGCACAGCCCTAGTCCATTGGAGGGTTTGAATTTCCCGTCAAAATGGCTATTGGTTGGGGCTGGGGGGAACTAGGAGCCTATGTTCCCTTTGTCCAGGGAAGCCAAGCTCCTGTCTTTGCCGCGGACCCCTAGTGGCAGTCTGCGTACATAACACATAGGGGACAAAAGGGAACCTTGCAGAAGCCAAAAGGCCACGCACCACCTTCTGCCATTTACCTTTGAAGCAGAACGGCAACCACTGCAGAACAGTGTCTCCTGGTCCCAACCCTGAAAGGCGGACCAGAAGGTTACCATGATCAATGGTGTCAAAAGCCACTGAGAAGTCCAGGAGAATTAGCAGGATCACACTCCCCCTGTCCATCTCCCAGCAGAGATCATCCACTAGGGTGACCAAGGCCATTTCAGTCCCATAAGCAGTTCCTAGTTTGGTGTCGTGGTTAAGAGCGCGGATAATCTGGGAGAACGGGGGTATGATTCCCCACTCCTCCACATGCAGCTGCTGGTGTGACTGGGTCAGTCACAAGTTCTTTCAGAGCTGCTCTCAAGGGCAGTTCTCGGGAGAGCTCTCTTAGCCCCACCTACCTCACAGGGGGTCTGCTGTGGGGAGGGGAAGGGAAAGGAGATTGTAAGCTGCTCTGAGACTCCTTCGGGTAGTGAAGGGCGGGGTATAAATCAAATCTCCTCCTCCTCCTTCTCCTCCTCCTCCTCCTCCTCCTCCTCCTCCTTCAGAAACTGTTTTCTGTTCTTCAGAAACTTCAGAAACTACACTTAAATCTGGTTGTGCACTGTATTAATTACTCAGCCAACACTAACCGCAGGCTGCCAAGTCACTTTGATGGGGTGGAGGATCGCCTGCCCCCTGCTCCCACATTCTGCTACTGCTCAGGACAGAACCTTCCTTAGTGGTCTCCCATCCAAGTACCTGCCCTGTGTAGCTTCTGAGATCTGATGAGACCGGGCAACAATACCTCCTAGCAACGCTGGCTGCAATGGTACGTCACTTTCAGTAAAAAACAGGAAGTGACGTAGTTTGCTCTAGGAATTGCTGGAAACTCAATGGTTTTCTGGCACTCCCTAAAGCAGGGGTGTCAAGCATGCAGCCCGTAAGCTGGATCAGGCCCTCGGAGGGCCCCAAACTGGCCAGCAAGGCCCTGGATGTTTCCTGCTTCCCTTTCCAGTTCTCTTGCTGCTGCCATATCCCATCTTGCTTTACCAGTCTCACTCAATTGCACAGGAGAGCTAGATAGGCCTCACAGAGGAGGGAGAGCTTGTACCTGAAGGGGACCCGGGGGGGGGGACTCTGCCACTTACCTGGCTGCTTCTTGCTCCTTGTGGCCCAACTGAGGGCTGCTGGGAGCAGGGGGTGGAGCTTGTTGCATGTGCCCGCCCCCTGGGCTCCTTACTGCCGGAGCTCCGCTCCTGTGCGCTCCTGCAGGAAGTGACCCCTGAGAGTGCTTATCTATACCTTGTGGCTAATAGCTCCATATGCTTATCCAATTCCCTCTTGAAGCCGTCCATGCTTGTAGCCACCACCACCTCCTGTGGCAGTGAATTCCATGTGTTAACCACTCTTTGGATGAAGAAGGACTTCCTTTTATTTCTTCTAACCTGACTGCTTAGCAGTTTCATGGAGTGGCCACGAGTTTTTGTGTTGTGAGAAAGGGAGAAAAGTACCTCTTTCTCTACCTGCTCTATCCCATGCATAATCTTGTAAACCTCGATCATGTCACCCCTCAGCCGTCGTTTCTCCAAGCTAAAGAGCCCCAAGCATTTTAACCTTTCTTCCCAGGGAAAGTGTTCCAACCCTTTTATCATTTTAGCCTCCAAAAGCTTGAAAGTGAGGGGGGTCAGGTGTACCTCCTTGGGGAGGTTGTTCCACAACTGTGGGGCTGCCACTGAAAAGGTCCTGTCTCATCTGCCCCTCAAATGAGTCAGGAGGGCGTCTGCATGAAATCTTAATTCCTGGGCAGGAATGTATGGGAGGAGACAGTCCTTCAGGTACCCTGGTCCCAGGCCATGTAGGCCTTTAAAGGTCATAGAAGCATAGAGTTGGAAGGGGCCTCCAGGGTCATCTAGTCCAACCCCCTGCACAATACAGGAAATTTACAAATACCTCCCCCCCCGCACACCCCCAGTGACCCCCGTTCCATGCCCAGAAGATGACAAAAAGCCTCCAGGACCTACAGCCAAACTGGCATAGAGAAAATTGCTTCCTGACCCCAAAGTGGCAACCAGCATTTCCCTGGGAGTGTAAGAAAGGGCCATGAGAACTCTAAGCACTGAGGCAACCCTTCCTGCCCTCCCTCTCGTGATCTGCCTCAGTTCACAGAATCGGCATTGCTGTCAGATGGCCATCCAGCCTCTGTCTGAAAACCTCCAAAGAAGGAGAGCCCACCACCTCCCGAGGAAGCCTGTTCCACTGAGGAACCACTCTAACTGTCAGGAAGTTCTTCCTAATGTTTAGCCAAAAACTCTTCTGATTTAATTTCCTCCCGTTGGTTCTGGTCTGACCTTCTGGGGCAACAGAAAACAAATCCATACCTTCCTCTCTATGACAGCCTTTGAAGACGGCTATCATATCACAGCTCCTTCAACCTTTTCTCATAGGACTTGTTCTGCAGACTCTTCACCATCTTTGTTGCTCTCCTCTGGACACATTCCAGCTTGTCTATATCCTCCTTAAATTGTCATGCCCAAAACCGAACACAATACTCTAGGTGAGGTCTAACCAGAGCAGAGTATTTATATATTTATATTTCAATTTATATTTCCATCACATCTCATGATTCTCTTCACCATCTTTGTTGCTCTCCTCTGGACACATTCCAGCTTGTCTATATCCTCCTTAAATTGTCATGCCCAAAACCGAACACAATACTCTAGGTGAGGTCTAACCAGAGCAGAGTATTTATATATTTATATTTCAATTTATATTTCCATCACATCTCATGATCTGGACACTATACAGCCCAAAATTGCATTTGCCTTTTTATCAACCACATCACACTGCTGACTCATGTTCAGTGTATGGTCTACTAAGACCCCTAGATCCTTTTCGCACCTACTACTGCCAAGACAAGGCTCCCCCAACCTATAATTATGCCTTTGATTTTTCCTTACTAAATGCAGAACTTTACATTTATCCCCATCAAAATTCATTACATTTCTTTTAGTCCAGTTTTCCAGGCTGTCAAGATCATCCTGTATCCTGACTCTGTCTTGTACCGTATTTGCTACCCCTCCCAAGTGAGTATCATCTGCAAATTTAATAAGCATTCCCTCTATCCCTTCATCCAAATCATTGATAAAGATGTTGAACAAAACAGGTCCCAGGACAGATTGTTGAGGCACTCCACTTGTCACTCCTCTCCAAGAGGATGAGGAACCATTCACAAGCACTCTTTGGGTGCGATCTGTCAACCAGTTACAGATCCACCTAGCAGTCATGGGATCCAACCCATATTTTTCCAATTTGTCAACAAGTATATTATGTGGAACCTTATCAAAAGCCTTACTAAAATCAAATTAAACTAGGTCTACAGCATTCCCCTGATCCAGGAAGGTAGTAACTTTTTCAAAAAAAGAGATAAGGTTAGTCTGACATGATTTGTTCTTGAGAAACCCATGCTGGCTCATTAATTACAGCCGTCCTTTCTAAATGCTCAAGGACTGTCTGTTTGATGATGTGTTCTAACAGTTTCCCAGGTACAGATGTCAAGCTGATGGGTTGGTAGTCGCCCGGATCCTCCTTTTCCCCCCTTCTTGAAGATGGGGACAACATTTGCCCACCTCCAATCTTCTGGCACCTATCCTGTTCTCCAAGAATTCTCAAAAATAATGGACAGAGGCTCAGAAATTACTTCTGTGAGTTCTTTTTGTACCCTTGGATGTAGTTCATCTGGGCCAGAAGACTTTGTTTCCTTTAAAGAAACCATTACCTTTGAACTGGGCTTGGGAGCTGATTGGAAGCCAGTGTAATGCCGTAGTATTGGAGTCCCAACTTATGATTTCTTCCCCTTGCCAGTGCCGCTTTCAATACCACACAGGGCTTTGGGGGGTACGATTCCACCCTTTGGTCACCCCACCAGACCCTCAACTAAAGGGAACACTCTGCAGAGCGCTCTGCGCACCTGTTTCATTCGGATGCTGTAAATGATTGGGTTCAACATGGGCGGGAGGCTGAGGTAGAGATCGGCCAGCAGGACTTGGACGTGAGGCGGTGTGCCGTGAGGAAAGCCCTGGATGTAAATGGAAGCCATCCCGGGGAGGTAATACAGCAGCATCACGCAAACGTGGGAGCTGCATGTACTGAAGGCCTTGAGCCGCTCCGTCTTCTCGCTCAGCTTCTTCACGGCTCTGAGAACCAGCCCGTAAGAAATGGCAATGAAAGCCATGTCGCTCCCCACGATCAGGGTGGATCCCACCATGATGTAGACGCGGCTGGTGGCAGAATCCGCACAGGCCAATTTTACGACCGCCATGTGCTCGCAATAGGAATGAGGGATTCGCTTGGAAGCGCAGTAGGGCAAGCGGCTCACCATCCCGCTCAAAGGAACCATGAAAAGGATCCCTCTCGTCAGAATCGCCAGGCCTACCTGGGCCACCCTTGGGGGCGTTAGGATCGTCTCATATCTCAGCGGGTGGCTGATGGCAACGTATCGGTCAAAGGCCATGGCCAGCAAGACCCCCGACTCCATCGCTGTAACGGAATGGATGAAAAACATCTGAGCAAAGCAGACGTTGAGGCCGATCTTCGGAGAGCCGCTCCAGAAGATGTCCAGCATTTTGGGCACTGTCGTCGTCGCCATGACCACGTCGATGACTCCCAGCATGCCCAGGAAATAGAACATGGGGTTGTGCAGGGTGCGGTCGAATCGGATGGCAAAGAGGAGAGCGCCGTTCCCGAAGAGTGCCACGATATACATAAAGCAGAAGGGGATGCCCAGCCAAGGATGGACTGATTCAAGCCCTGGGATGCCGACTAAGACGAATGTAGGTGGGCTGGAGTTGGTGTCCAGAACCATTTGGGAAGGATGCATGTCCTATGTGAAGACAAAACAACACTTTTAAGGACAAGAACTTGCATTTGAGGTCGGTAGCACAGGAAGCATTCTGTCCAGGACATGAGAAGCAATTTTCTCTTCTAGTCCTAGAATATTACTTCTATAGATTTCTTTCCTATCCTATTGAAGAACTTCAGACTAGTTGCAATACATTCTTACCTTAATGTATCCTCACAACAGCTCTAGGAGAGTTTACTTTATTACTATCTTTCATTAGAAGAAGAGGAGGAGGAGGAGGAGGAGATTGGATTTATACCCTGCCATTTACTCCAAATCTCAGAGCAGTTTACAAGCTCCTTTTCCTTCCCCTCCCCACAACAGACACCTTGTGAGGCAGGTGGGGCTGAGAGAGCTCTGAGAGAACTGCCCTTGAGAGAACAGCTCTGAAAGAACTTGTGACTGACCCAAGGTCACCCAGCTGGCTGAAAGTGGAGGAGTGGGGAATCAAACCCAGCTCCCCCAGATTAGAGTCCGCGCTCCACCTGCCTCACAGGGTATGTGTTGTGGGGAGAGGAAGGGAAGGAGATTGTAAACCACTCTGAGACTCCAAGTGAAGGGCAGGGTATAAATCCAACTCTTCTTCTTCTTCCTCTGCGTCAATGTTTTTATTGAAAAATATCAGTCTTCTCTTACGCTAAATCTTTCTGAACTTAAACATGTGACCATCATGTAGCTAAACAATAAACTCGTAGCTGTTGATGAGAAAACCATACAGGCGCATCTAAGATTACATCTGATATGTGCTCATTATCTTTTCTAAAACAAGATAAGATCAGGCCAAAGTTAACTCTTAATCTCTATTAAAAGGCAAAAAAAGAATTCAAATATTTCTGTGATTGTTTTAAATTAGCTGTCGGACACAGAAGAAAGACCTTAAATGCAATCAGAGTTCCCCAATAGTTGAGCCTAAGACGATCTCGCAGCTACACTGAAACATGCATATCAGCAAGCCGAGGAATGATAGAAGCAACATACTGCTCAGGTATGCTTTGACACCAAGGATTTTGAGGCTGAAAACCAGCCCAGAGAGAAACGGTCATGCCAAATGAACAACCTACCTCCACTCCACTTGCAAGCACATGTCCAGGTAGAAGGAGGGGGTCCCTCAGCCACCAGCGTCTGGGTTCTGCTCCTGGAATGTATGGTCTGTTCTCAAAACCATTCTGTTCTGCAGAACATTGCAGGCGTATTTTATCCACTGACCCAAATCCCCACAGGAGACGGAGAATGCCCTGGTATGTAGGGCATCAGATTCACCCCTGTGCCTTGTGTCTCCTTGGGTCCGGGGGATGTAGAAATCACATCACATCAGTGGCCCTCCTACCAACCGAGGGTTTTGAATGAAAACTTCTGTTGATGGTGTAATATAAGGCACCAGTTCTGTTCCTCATGAAACTTGCTATAAAACATTCAATAAAATTATGGCTGTTTCTAAAAATGATTGAAATAAAATATACGTGGACTCAAACAGTAATGACTAGTCCGCATGGTCAAAGCAATGGTATTCCCAGTAGTCATGTATGGCTGCGAGAGTTGGACTATAAGGAAGGCCGAGCGCCGAAGAATAGATTCTTTTGAACTATGGTGCTGGAGAAGACTCTCGAGAGTCCCTTGGACTGCAAGGAGATCAAATCAGTCAATCCTCAAAGAAATCTACCCTGACTGTTCCCTGGAAGGCCAGATAATGAAACTGAAGCTCAAAGACTTTGGCCACCAAATGAGAAGGGAGCACTCCCTGGAGAAGAAGACCCTGATGCTGGGAAAGATTGAAGGTCAAAGAAGATGGGGACGGCAAAGGATGAGATGGTTAGACAGTGTCATAGATGCAACGAACATGAAATTGAGCAAACTTCAGAGGACAGCGGAAGACAGGAGGGCCTGGCATGATCTGGTCCATGGGATCGCGAAGAGTTGGACTCGACTGTGCGACTGAACAACAACAACATTATGGGTCAAGCATCGGACACAGTTGGCCCTTCTCAAGCATGCAAGCTGTCGGTGGAAGGAAACTGGTTGTGGGTTGTGAGTGGCTCTTTTAAGAGTAAGGACCACACAGACCCCATAATTGACAGGCATTGGAAACAGTTGGCCCTTCTCAAGCATGCAAGCTGTCGGTGGAAGGAGATTGGTTATGGGTTGTGAGTGGCTCTTTTAAGAGTAAGGACCACACAGACCCCATAATTGACTGGTCCAAGCAAAATTCCCAGAATTTGACAGCTGCCAATCAAGCACCACAGCTGAAGAGGCTAGCCTGAGAACTGGTGAGGGCAGCCACAAAATGGCTTCCACAGAATGGTTACCCCAGGAGGCAGAACCAGCCACAAAATGGTTGCCACTGCATGACCTCAGTCATACAGTGGCTCAGGTGTCAGACTAGGATCTGGGATGCCTGGGTTTGAATCCTGGGTTGGAAAGCTGTTGCTGTGGAGCTGGAGAAAAGTGATCCTGCAGGTACTTGAGACCAAGGCCATTAAGGACCTTGGAGATGATGAGCAGAATGGGTGTGATGTGTAGGCTTCACCTAACCCTGCATGGTAACCAAACTGGGGTATTCTGTAGCAACTGGAGTTTCCATGTTAGCTTTAAGGACAGACACAGACCTATCTAGCGTGCATTACAATAGTGTGGCTCTGAGCACATCATACCCTGCCATAAATTTTGTTAGTGTTGAAGGTGCAGTAGTGTAGTGCAGCCGCAAAATAGTGGTTAAGTGTGCGGACTCTAATCTGGCAGAGCCGGGTTTGAGTCCCCATTCTCCACTTGCACCTGGCTGGATGACCTTGGGCAAGCCGTAGTTCTGATAAGAGCTGTTCTTGAAAAAGAGCCATTTCTGTCAGAGCTCTCTCAGCCCCACCGACCTCACAGGGGGTGTCTGTTGTGGGGAGGGGAGGGGAAAGGAGTTTGTAAGCTGCTCTGAGACTCCTTCGGGTAGTGAAGGGCGGGGTATAAATCCAATCTCCTCCTCCTCTTCTTCTTCTGTCACAAGTTCTCTCAGAGCTGTCCTTGAAAGAGCTCTCTCAGCCCCACCTGCCTCACTGGGTGTCTGTTGTGGGGAGGGGAAGGGAAAGGAGTTTGTAAGCCGCTCTGAGACTGCTTCAAGTAGTGAAGGGCGGGGTATAAATCCAATCTCCTCCTCCTCCTCCTCTTCTTCTGTCACAAGTTCTCTCAGAGCTGTCCTTGAAAGAGCTCTCTCAGCCCCACCTGCCTCACAGGGTGTCTGTTGTGGGGAGGGGAAGGGAAAGGAGTTTGTAAGCCGCTCTGAGACTGCTTCAAGTAGTGAAGGGCGGTGTATAAATCCAATCTCCTCCTCCTCCTCCTCCTCCTCCTCCTCCTCTTCTTCTCTTTTCTACTGCTACAGCCAAACACGGCTGCCCATCTTGATCTGGCTCTGTGGTCACTGTAGTATGGATCCATGTGAACAGCCGGGTCAAGGTAGAGAGCAATCTCTTGGGCGCCAAGAAGATGGAAGAAAGCATTTTTGTAGCTGAATAACTTACTTCTTTAGAAATTATGTGGGTCTGGTATAACTCCTACTCGTTTAAGTTTCCAGTGCTCAGAGGGGAGTCGTGCTGGTCTGCAGTAGATCAGCAGGATGCAAGTCCAGGAGACCAGCAAGATTTTTGGGGTCTGAGCTTTTGAAAATCAAAGTCCTCTTTGATGAAGGGAGCTTTGACTCTTGAAAGCGTATATGTCATAAGTAGAAGAGAATGTGGTGGGAGGAGGATAATACATATACCAAACAGATAACCAGGAGAGAGATCATGGTAGATAACTCCCTGGAAATGTCAACTCAGTGTGCGAATGCAATAAAAATGGCAAACGCTTTGCTGGGGATTATTAGGAAGGGGAATCAGAAGACCAGTGGTTCATCCAGTCCAGCATCATCTTACACACTGTGGCAAACCGGATGCTCCTGAAAGGCCCACATGCAAGGATGCACCCATTGCTTCCCCACCCCAGCACTGACAGTCAGAGGGTTACTGCCTCTGAATATGGAGGTTCCATTTAGTCCTTGTGGCTAACAAACATCTGTGGACATTATCTTCATGAACTGAAGTTACTGTATGGTTATCTCCCCAGTAACCTAAGTATTTACATGCATGAAATGGGCCAAAAACCACCAGCGCAGAGATGTGGATGAGGATAGTTTAACAGTCTCTGTGATGTATTCAATAGCTGCCAATGGTATACATAACTGCAGGGGTCATTTCCTGCGGGAGCGCACAGGAGTGGAGCTCTGGCAGTAAGGAGCCCAGGGGGTGGGCACATGCAGTAAGCCCCGTCCCCTGCTCCCAGCAGCCCTCAGTCAGGCCACAAGGAGCAAGAAGCAACCAGTTAAGTTGCAAAGCCCCCCCTTCAGGTACAAGCTCTCCCTCCTCTGTAAAGGCAGATCTGTGCATTCCCCCCTCATAGCTAGCAATCCAAAACAGTCCAGTGGCACCTTTAAGACCAAATTTTGTTCAGGTACAAGCTCTCCCTCCTCTGTGAGGACAGACAGACTTCATGTTCCTGGGATCCCAGATCACCGCAGACTGTGACAGCAGCCATGAAATTAAAAGATGCCTGCTCCTTGGGAGGAAAGCGATGGCGAACCTAAACAGCATGATAAAAAGTAGAGACATCACCCTGCCAACAAAAGTCCGCATGGTCAAAGCAATGGTATTCCCAGTAGTTGGACTATAAGGAAGGCCGAGCACCGAAGAATAGATTCTTTTGAACTATGGTGCTGGAGAAGACTCTTGAGAGTCCCTTGGACTGCAAGAAGATCAAATCAGTCAATCCTAAAAGAAATCAACCCTGACTGTTCCCTGGAAGGCCAGATAATGAAACCAAAGCTCAAATACTTTGGCCACCCAATGAGAAGGGAGCACTCACTGGAAAAGAAGACCCTGATGCTGGGAAAGATTGAAGGTCAAAGAAGAAGGGGACAGCAAAGGATGAGATGGTTGAACAGTGTCCTAGATGCAACAAACATG